AGTCATCACTACCACCAGCACCACCACCACCACCATCGTCATCATCACCAGCACCACCACCATCATCATCACCACCAGCACCACCATCACCACCACCATCGTCATCACCACCAGCACCACCATCACCACCACCATCGTCGTCATCATCATCACCATGCCAACGCGTACGACGTGGCGGGGTGCGTCACAGTCACAGGCACGGCAGTGGGTGGGGTTCCACGCATCACCATAACGCTATGGGGCATGGGGAGCAGGGTGGGAGATGGGGGGCACGGACGTGCTATAGGACAGGGTGGAGCATGTGATGGAGACGGTGGGTAGGGATGGGAGATGGAGGGGGGGTTACGGGTAGCAGGGGTAGCAGGGGTGGGAGATGGGGGGAGCAGGAGGGGGAAACGGGGGGGAGGGGTAGGAGACGGAGGGAGACGGGGAGTAAGGATGGAGACGGGGGAAAGGTTTCTCGCCTCTGGGCTGCTGACTCGGTCCCCCGCCCCCCGTGCCCCGCCCCCCGCGCCCCGCCCCCCGCGCCCCGCCCCCCGTGTTTCACGAGCGACATTCACGTTAATTGAATCGGGCTCAGAGCAAAACGAGAATTGAGGCAATGCGACTCACAAAACACATAGTAAACAACAACACACAGAGTAAACAACACACACCAATACACACGACAAAACACAGAGTAAACAACGCACGTAAGTACACACAACAACACACAGAGTAAACAACAAAGTAAACAACACAGCCAAACACGCACGTAAACATATGATGATGTGGGTCATGCCGATGACCCACATCATCATGGCAACTCATAACACCGTCATCATCACCATCACCATGACACCTTCATCATCATCACCATGACACCATCATCATCACCATGACACCTTCATCATCATCACCATGACACCATCATCATCACCATGACACCATCATCATCACCATGACACCATCATCATCATCACCATGCCACCGTTATCATCATCATTATCACCATGACACCATCATCATCACCATGACACCATCATCATCACCATGATACCATCATCATCATCACCATGACACCATCATCATCATCATCACCATGACACCATCATCATCACCATGCCACCCTTATCATCATCATTATCACAATGACACCATCATCATCACCAATGATACCATCATCATCACCATATCATCATCATCACCATGACACCGTCATCATCATTATCACCATGACACCATCATCACCATGACATCATCATCATCACCATGACATCATCATCATCATCACCATGACACCATCATCATCACCATGACACCGTCATCATCATCACCATGACACCATCATCATCATCATCACCATGACACCATCATCATCATCACCATGACACCATCATCACCATCACCACGACACCATCATCATCACCATGACACCATCATCATCACCATCACCATGACACTATCATCATCATCATCATCACCATGACACCATCATCATCACCATGACACCATCATCAACATGATGATCCCCCCTCAGCCCTACCCCCCCGCTCAAGGTGACTCCGCTCCACGACCCCTGACCTTTCCCCCACCCCGACTCCCCTTGGTCCGATCCCCGTCTGTCCCCCACCACCCCCGCCCCGTGCTCGCTGAAGGTCGCGCCTCGTGGCGATGGCGAAGAATGCAAATTCCCCCCCCCCCCCCCGCGCGCGTTGTACTCGACGAACTTCTTAATTTTACGCGCGACTTCTCCGCTCCGAGCAGCGATCTCCACTCCCCCTCCTCCCCTGCCTCCCCCCCTCCCCCCATCTCCTTCCTTCCATCTCTCCCTCCACATCCCGCCTCTCTCCCCCTGCTCCAATCTCCCTCCCCCCTCCCATCTCCCACGCTCCTCCTCTCTCCTTCCCTCTCTCCATCTCCCTCTCCCTGCTCCCATCTCCGTCCCCCTTTTCCCCCGGTCCCATCTCCCTCTACCCCCTGCTTCCACCACATTCCCCGGTAGGAGTGTGGGTGTGTCTGTGTGCGGTAGGAGTGTGGGTGTGTGTGTGTGCGGTAGGAGTGTGGGGTGTGCGTGTGTGCGGTAGGAGTGTGGGGTGTGTGTGTGCGGTAGGAGTGTGGGTGTGTGTGTGCGGTAGGAGTGTGGGTGTGTGTGTGTGCGGTAGGAGTGTGGTGTGTGTGTGTGTGTGTGCGGTAGGAGTGTGGGGTGTGCGTGTGTGCGGTAGGAGTGTGGGTGTGTGTGTGTGCGGTAGGAGTGTAGGGTGTGTGTGTGCGGTAGGAGTATGAGGTGTGTGTGTGCGGTAGGAGTGTGGGTGTGTGTGTGCGGTGGGAGTGTGGGGTGTGTGTGTGTGTGTGCGGTGGGAGTGTGGTGTGTGTGTGTGCGGTAGGAGTGTGGGGTGTGTGTGTGTGCGGTAGGAGTGTGGTGCGTGTGTGTGCGGTAGGAGTGTGGTGCGTGTGTGTGCGGTAGGAGTGTGGGTGTGTGTGTGTGTGGGGTAGGAGTATGAGGTATGTGTGTGTGCGGTAGGAGTGTGGGGTGTGTGTGTGTGGTAGGAGTGTGTGTGTGTGTGTGCGGTAGGAGTGTTGTGCGTGTGTGTGCGGTGGGAGTATGAGGTGTGTGTGTGTGCGGTAGGAGTGTGGGGTGTATGTGTGCGGTAGGAGTGTGGGGTGTGCGTGTGCGGTAGGAGTATGAGGTGTGTGTGTGTGCGGTAGGAGTGTGGGTGTGTGTGTGTGCGGTGGGAGTGTGGAGTGTGTGTGTGTGCGGTGGGAGTGTGGTGTGTGTGTGTGCGGTAGGAGTGTGGGGTGTGTGTGTGTGCGGTAGGAGTGTGGTGCGTGTGTGTGTGGTAGGAGTGTGTGTGTGTGTGTGCGGTAGGAGTATGAGGTATGTGTGTGTGCGGTAGGAGTGTGGGGTGTGTGTGTGCGGTAGGAGTATGGGTGTGTGTGTACGGTAGGAGTGTGGTGCGTGTGTGTGCGGAGGGAGTGTGGGGTGTGTGTGTGCGGTAGGAGTGTGTGTGTGTGTGCGGTAGGAATGTGGGGTGTGTGTGTGCGGTAGGAGTGAGTGTGTGTGTGTGGTAGGAATGTGAATGTGTGTGCGGTAGGAGTATGAGGTGTGTGTGTGCTGTAGGAGTGTGGTGTGTGTGTGTGTGTGTGCGGTGGGAGTGTGGGGTGTGTATGTGTGCGGTGGGAGTGTGGTGTGTGTGTGCGGTCGGAGTGTGGGTGTGTGTGTGCGGTAGGAGTGTGGGGTGTGTGTGTGCGGTAGGAGTGAGTGTGTGTGTGTGCGGTAGGAGTGTGGGTGTGTGTGTGTGCGGTAGGAGTGTGGTGTGTGTGTGTGCGGTAGGAGTGTGTGTGTATGTGTGTGCGGTAGGAGTGTGGGTGTGTATGTGTGCTGTAGGAGTATGAGGGGTGTGTGTGCGGTAGGAGTGTGGTGTGTGTGTGTGCGGTAGGAGTGTGGGTGTGTGTGTGTGCGGTAGGAGTGTGGGTGTGTGTGTGTGTGTGTGCGGTAGGAGTATGAGGTGTGTGTGTGTGCGGTAGAAGTGTGGGGTGTGTGTGTGCGGTAGGAGTGTGGGTGTGTGTGTGCGGTAGGAGTGTGGTATGTGTGTGTGCGATGGGAGTGTGGGGTGTGTGTGTGTGCGGTAGGAGTGTGGGGTGTGTGTGTGTGCGGTAGGAGTGAGTGTGTGTGTTTGGTAGGAGTGTGGGGTGTGTGTGTGCGTTAATAGTGTGAGTGTGTGTGCGGTAGGAGTATGCGTGTGTGTGTGCGGTGGGAGTGTGGGGTGTGTGTGTGCGAGCGGTAGGAGTGTGTGCGCGCGCGTGGAGCGGTGGCGCACTGATTAGCGCACTGCGCTATGAATTCGGCGACTCTGGCAGTGGTGGCTGTGCACGTGGCCTGTAACCGCCACTGTGCAGGCAGCAGCATCAGCAGCGAGGATTGGTGGATGACACACAGATGGTGTTGTGAAACTCCCTTCGCGCGGGCATCGAGGGGGAGCCGTGCCCTGGCTCGCCAACAGAATACGGTACAGCTGAGCGTGGACTCCTGTCAGCTGTTCCCGTCGGTATGGGATCGAGCGTTGCCCCGTCACGCGTGCGGATTGTTCTCCGGGCGCTCCGGTTTCCTCCCACGTGCAGTACGAACACTCATTAAAATGGTAGAAAACATCTTAATATGTAGAGAACGCCAGAGCAATCGTTGTTGGTGCCCGCTCGCAGCCCTCCCAGTTTGGACTGTGGTTCCCGCTCAGCGACCGTGAGACTTACGCCTCTGTATCAAACTAATCGTGGGGATGATTCACTTTCAGACCCCCCACTGCCGCGCTCATGGCCAACATCACCATTGACGCATGTCTGAGCTTGCCCTGGGTCATCGCCTAGCTCGTGCTCAGCCATAAAGTAGTAATGTCCTGCGCTGTGTAAACATCGGTACTGGGAAGACAAAGGCGGTCAGTTGGGCGTGGTGCTCACCAAGCACCGAGTGTAGCGGTTAGCGCTACGCTGAGCTACGAACCCGGCGTTCCGAGTTCGATTCCCGCTCACGGCCAACACCGGTGGCGATTATCTGAACCGGTCCTGGGCCTCCCCTACGTCGACCCAGCCTCAAATTAGTACCTGGTGCGGTGCATACACCTCGCCACTAGGGAGACAAAGGCGGCCGGGCGTGGTGTTGGCCACCCACCTGTCTCTAACACACACCGGTTAGCGTACCGGCGAGCGTACCGGTGAGCGTACCGGTGAGTGTGGGTGAGCATACCGGTGAGTGTACCAGTGAGTGTACCGGTGAGCGTACCGGTGAGCGTACCGGTGAGTGTGGGTGAGCATACCGGTGAGTGTACCAGTGAGTGTACCGGTGAGTGTACCGGTGAGCGTACCGGTGAGTGTGGGTGAGCATACCGGTGAGCGTACCGGTGAGTGTACCGGTGAGCGTACCGGTGAGCGTACCGGTGAGTGTACCGGTGAGTGTACCGGTGAGTGTACCAGTGAGTGTACCGGTGAGTGTACCGGTGAGTGTACCGGTGAGTGTCGCTGCTCACCCAGGCGGAGTACTTGAGGCATGGCGTGCGCGACCCCGAGGCACAGGAGGCAGAGAGCGGCGCGGGGGTGGAGGGGGGGTCGCGTGTTGGGACGGGGGGGGCTCATCTTCACGTGTCCCTCCTCCTCCTCCTCCTCAACCTCCTCAACCTCTTCACCCCTCGCTTCCTCACTCACTCCATCTCGCCACTCGCTGCTGACACTCCGAGGCAGCCACCGATGTAATAATCCTCAGTGACCCTCGCTCAGGGCCGTCACATCGCCACCATGGCCCGAGACTGCCTCGTCGTCTCCATCACCTCCGTCCTCACGGTGCCGGCGGAACGGTGAATAATAATCCGGTGTTGTGGGGGGCCTGCCTGGGGCTGTGGGTTGGCGTGGAGAGGCTGGTATTAGTCTTTAAATCCGAGATGATTGGGGGGGGGGGGCTAGGGAGTGCCCCCCCACCGCCTGTCCCTCCTCGTCCTCCTCCTCCTCCCCACCGCGGTTCTCGCTGCGAGACAACACAGGGACAAGTCAGCGACGCCGTGGAGTAGGAGGGGTACGTGGGGGGGGGGGGGGGGGGTACGTGGTGGGGGGGAGGGGGTACATGGGGCAGGGGGGGAAGGGTACGTGGTGGGGGGGGGGAGGTACGTAGTGGTGGTGGGGGGGTACGTGGGGCAGGGGGGGGTTACGTGGTGGGAGGTGGGGGAGGAGATGGCTCCCCCTGTCTCCCTCCCCCTGTCTCCCTCCCCCTGTCTCCCTCCCCCTGTCTCCCTCCCCCTGTCTCCCTCCCCCTGTCTCCCTCCCGCACCGCCCGTAATTTGTGTCCGAGTCAGCGCCGCTCACTCACCACAACACCCATCATCACCACGTCCACTCGGCCGATACCTACTCCCTCGCTCGCTCACTCACCACTCCACTCACCACTAACTCGCCCAATGCACCCCCCCCCCCCACCCACCGCTTACCCCGACCACTCACCTCGCCCATCGCCCTCACGACACCTCACTCACCCCTTCCGCCACCACTCAACTCACCATACACTCACCCAAAAACTCACCTCCATAAACACCCCACTCACTCCACACCCACCTAACCACTCCACTCGCATTGCGTCAACCACTGCGCCAACACTCCACACAAAGACAAAGATCCCCCGTGTCGCCTTTAGCGGACTGCTATGGCACGGGCTATTAGCGAGTAGCACCTATTAAGCACACAAAAACCCACACACACAGACATACACACAGACATACACACAGACATACACACAAACACACACAGACATACATACATACAAACACACACACAGATACACACAGACATACACAAACACACAGACATACACACAGACATACATACAAATACACAGATACACACAGACATACACACAAACACACAGACATACACACAAACACACACAGATACACACAGACATACACACAAACACACAGACATACACACAAACACACACAGACATACATAGACATACACACAGCACACATAGACATACACACAAACACACATAGACAAACACACAGACACACACAGATACACACAAACACACACAGACATACACACAGACATACATAGACATACACACAAACACACAGACATACACACAAACACACGTAGACATACACACAAACACACACAGACACACACAAACACACATAGACAAACACACAGACACACACACAGATACACACAAACACACACAGACACACACACAAACACACATAGACAAACACACAGACACACACACAGATACACACAAACACACACAGATATACACACAGACATACATAGACATACACACAAACACACATAGACATAGACATACACACAAACACACATAGACAAACACACAGACACACAGATACACACAAACACACAGAGACATACACACAGACATACATAGACATACACACAAACACACATAGACATACACAGAAACACACAGATAAACACAACACACAGACAGACACACAAACACACACAGACATACGCACAAACAAAAACACACACAGATACGCACAAACACACAGACAGATACACAAAAACTCAGACTGACACACAAACACACAGACATACACAAAAACATACACAAACACAGACATACACAAAAACCCCACACACATATACGCACCTCCGATTAGCACGGTTGGCTACGTACGGTGGCAAAGAAGTTCAACATACGCACAGACACACAAACACATGTACATACACACAAAGACACAGACATACACACAAAGACACAGACATACACACAAAGACACAGACACACACACACAAAGACACAGACATACACACAAAGACACATACATACACACAAAGACACACACGCACACACAAAGACACAGACATACACACAAAGACACAGACATACACACAAAGACACAGACACACACACAAAGACACAGACACACACACAAAGACACAGACATACACACAAAGACACAGACACACACACAAAGACACAGACACACACACAAAGACACAGACATACACACAAAGACACAGACATACACACAAAGAAGTTGGGGGCCGGGGGGGGTGATGAAAGGTCAAAGGGGATGGCAGGGGATGAGGTGGGATGGGAGGGAGAGGGGATGAGGTGGGATGGAAGGGAGAGGGGTGGGTGATGAGAGGGAACGAGAGGGAGGGGGAATGCAAGGGGAGGGAGGAATCACGGGAGGGAGGGAGGAATCACGGGAGGGAGAGAATGAGAGAGGGGAGAGAGAGCGCGGTGCAGTAAATTGATTTTTTCCGAGGTTTTTTTGTTAAATTCGCGAGGGCTGAGAACGCGAGACTTAGCCCCCCCCCGTCTCCGCTACCCCTCCCCCCTAAACAGCCCCCACCCCCTACCGCTTACCCCCCCCCCCCCCCCCCCCCCCAGTGCAAACGCACAATGCAAATATAAACACAGTCACACTACAGCATGTAGACACACACATACACGCGGTACGTCAATATACACTCAAATACAAAGACCGCCCCTATAGCCTTGACAGTCTTAAAGGGGCAAGTGCTGTTAGGGAGCACCTATAAAGGTGTCGGCACGACACACGAGGGGGTGGGTGGCCAGCACCACGCCCGGCCGTCTTTGTCTCCCTAGTGGCAATGTTTACTATACACTGCATCAGGTACTCATTTGACGCTGATTTGACCTAGGGGAGGCCTAGGACCGATTCAGATAACTGGCACCGGTGTTGGCCCTGAGTGGGAATCGAACCCGGGTAGCGCTAACTACTACACTACACACACGTGTACACATAGACACGCACGCGCACACACGCACGTGTACACATACACACGCACGTGTATACATGCACACACCCACGCACGTGTACACACACGCACGCGCACACACGCACGCACGTGCACACACACACACGTGTATACACACGCACGTGTACACACACGCACGGCTTTCGTATGGGAGCAGGGGGGAGGTGGTGGTTGTGGTTGTATTTGTCGCAGGTTAGACGTTACGAGATTAATTTGAGTCTCGCTTGGGGGGAGAGAGGGGGGGGGGCACGGTGGGGGATGGGGGGGAGGCAGTGGGGGAGGGGCTGTAAAAAAAAGGTGGAGGGGGTGGGTGGGGGGACATGGCGTGGAGGGAAAGGGGGGTGGGCACCCCAGGGGGTCTCTAATCCACTCTGCCACTGCTCATTATTAATACGCGGACTCGCGCACGCGCCCGGAGGGAGGGGGGCTGGGGGGGAGGGGAGGAAGGGGAGGGGGGGATACGGGGAGGGGGGGACGGAGCTGCTCCCGGCTCACAATATCGATGTTCTTAAAATAAATAAATATCCAGCATCCAACACCATCCAGAACTACCCGGCACTACCCCAACAAGTCGTAATGAAAAAAGTGAAACAGAAAATCATAACAGAATTAATCAAAAACAGAGAGAGATGGTTTTGGTGGGGGAGAGAGAAAGAGAGAGAGGGGGAGAAGTGAGAGATGGAGGAGAGAGGGAGGGAGGGAGACTCACACATCGACAGCAGAGAGGGAGAGAGACGGCGCAGATGAAGGAATGAATCAGAGAGAGAGAGAGAGAATCAGATCCGCATTTCACACATCACGCACACACGCACAAAGGCAAAGATCCCCCGTGTAGGCTTTAACACACTGTTGGGACAAGCGCTGTTAGCGCGCACCTATTAAGAACGACGACGGCACACGAAGGGGGGGGGGGGGGGGGGGTGTCGCTCAGAGCCACACTCGGCCTCCTTTGTCTCTCGCCCCGGTGCCGCACGAGGAACTCACTTACGGCCGAGCCAACCTAGGAGGAGTCCCACGAGCGGGGTCATCGACTGACGTTGAGCGTTAGAACTCGGCTCGGTAGGCAAGGGGGTACCGGTAAATGGTAGAAGGGGTTTGGGGAAAAGGGTATTGAGGAGGGAGGGGTTAAGGTAAGAGGGTGGAGGTTCTAGGGGCTGGTAAGGCGCGAGGCGAGGGGGGTCAGCTGAGGGGACGTGGGGTCGGATAATCGGCTGATCCTCTTAGTGGCGAGGCGCGAGATGAGAGGAGCTCTGCGTATCGGCGCTAGGGAAGAGATCGCCAGATTTGGGGTGGAGAAAGCGGCACGGGTGGTGTATGGTGGTGGTGGGGGGGGGGGGCAGGGAGTGGAGTGGGGAGTGGAGTGGGGGGGGGGGAGACTCGAAGACAAAGATCCCCCCGTGTAGCATCCACAGACTATTGGGGGAAGTTGTTGCTATTCGGGCGCCTATGACTGGCTGTATGGCCAATACCATGCCCGGTCACCTTTGTCTCCCAAGCGCTTATTTTTTTTTTTTTACACAGCGCACCAGGTACTCATTTAACTGCTGAGTCGACCTACCGGAGGCCCAGGAGAGGTTCAGATAATCGTCACTGGTGCTGGCCGTGAGCGGGAATCGAACTCGGGTCGCCAGGTTCGTAGCGCAGCGCGCTGACCGCGACATTCCCGCTCCCTAAAACAAACAAAGATCCCCCGTGTAGCCTTAACAGATTGTAGGGGTAAGTGCTGTTAGCGAGCACCTATAAAGCCGGTACGGCACACGAGGGGGTGGGTGGCCAGCACCACGCCCGACTGCCTTTGTCTCCCCAGTGGCGATGTTTACACACCGCACCAGGTACTCATTTGAGGCTCAGTCGACCTAGGGGAGACCCAGGACCCGTTCAGATAATTGTCACTGGTGTTGGCCGTGAGCGGGAATCAAACTCGATTCACCAGGTTCGTAGCGCAGCACAGCGAACCGCTACACTACCACTCCTCCCACACACACATATATACATACTAACATACATACACACATATACATATACTCACGCAGACAAAGATCCCTCAGATAGCCTTAACATACTTTTGTGGCAAGTGCTGTTAGCGAGCACCTATATACTCACACACATATATACAGTACACACATGCACATATATACATACTTACACGTGTAGACACATACACACATTTAAATGCTGTCTTGGGAATCCCCTATGTCGTCTCAGCCTCAAAGTAGTACC